AGAAAATCATGCACGTCCTTAATGTACTCGGAGGTGTGTCTGTTACCATACATCCATTGCCGGTTCATCTGTGTGCATTATATATAATTAAGTGTGTCAAAAATCATTACAGAACATCATGAATAGATAATTAAGTGACCAAATTAATAGAAGTTCATCATCACATTAAAACCAAAGTACATACATAGTTCTCATCTTCAAGCGAAAATCATTACAGAACAACATAAAGCTCTGCAGAGCATCTAAATTAATTAAACCATACATTGAAACTATGTAACATTTCAATGCGAAAACAAATGCGATCATAATGGCAACCAAGGTAACAACTGATCCAACGACATAATGATACCAAGCCTCGGTATGAATGGCATATTTTATAATCTTTCTAATCTTCAAGTGCATTGCATCCATCTTGATCTTGTGATCATCGATGACATCCGCAACATGCAACTCCAATATCATCTTCTCCTCCTCAATTTTTATTATTTTTTCCTTCAAGAAATTGTTTTCTTCTTCAACTAAATTTAACCTCTTGACAATAGGGTCGGTTGGAATTTCCGTTTCAACAACCTCCTAGATAAATAAAATCTATGTCATGTTGGTCGGCATAATTTTCATAAACAATAAATGAACCAATAGTTATGAAAAGATAATATATACCACATCCGAATCATAGACAGGACGAGGGCCGACGGGGGCGGATACCAAAACCATCACACTATATAAGATGCAATAATAACAATAAATGAACCAATAGTTATGAAAAGAATATTTTTCCTTTCAGAAAGAAGATAAGAACAAGAGGCTCACCATGGTGGTGCCGGCGATGAGATCAGCGCGGGTGATCGACGGCGGTGAAGACGGGTACGAGGCTTGACGGACCGCTAAACCTAGACAAATATTGAGGAAAATGGAGCTTGGAGGTCAAGCTTGGAGAGGAGGAAGCTTAAGTAGTGTGGCTCGGGCATTCCATCAAACACCTTGTGTGCATAGGAGGTGAGCTAGAGCACCACCAAGCCCTCTCCCCCTCGGCTGCCAGAAAAAACAGAGCAATGTGCTCTGCTCTTACGCGAGGGGGTATATATAGGCACCTCATTGGTCCCGGTTGGTGGCATGAACCGGGACTAAAGGGCTGCCTTTGGTCCCGGTTCAAGCCACCAACCGGGACCAATGGTGGTGGACCAGGAGCGAGGCCCATTGGTCCCGGTTCGTCCCACCAACCGGGACAAAAAGGTCCAGACGAACCGGGACCAATGGCCCACATGGCCCGGCCGGCCCCCGGGGCTCACGAACCGGGTCCAATGCCACCATTGGTCCTGGTTCAGCCGGTTCTGGACTGAACCGGGACTAATGGGCTGACCCGGCCTGGACCATTGCCCCCTTTTCTACTAGTGAAATGTCAAATGGTGGTAGCGGAAAGCGGTGGTGGTTTGCACTTGGCAATGCGGAAGTGGGATGATGGGCTATATACGTGTCGGAGTTGAAGTTGTCGTTCCTAAGTAGCCGAAACACCTTAGGAGACACAACTCATAACTCAAATAAAATTGGGTTAAGTTGGGGTGGAAGTGTATGGTGGGTAAGCCTATGCGGAAATGGTGGTGATGGTTGATGAAGAAGCAACCATTCCTAAGTAGCCAAAACACCTTAGGAGACTTTAATCACTACTCAAGCAACCACGAATGCTATGGTGAACAAAATGGGTTAGGTTGCGGAAGTCGGTGGTGGCTATGCGGATGATATGGTGGAAGGCCTAGGCAAACTTGCCAAATTTTTGAAAATTTGATGGAGTCAAATTTTGTTGGTGGTATTTTTGCGGGATGGGGGATGTCAATAGCTTCAAAACAAGGTAAAGAACGTCAAAATCGGACTCCGGATGAATTAGTTATGGTCAAAACGGTGAAACACGGAAGGCTGAAATGCCAGGGACCGGATATTCGGGGGTAGGCTCCGGATTTCCGGGGGTGTATGTCCAGAACCGTGCAGATTTAGTGCTCCAGGGCCCGGATGTCCTGCCTGAGGCCCGGATGTCCGGCCCGACGATTCCAGATCTCGTTAGGGGCGGAAATTTTTGAATTGGGGGCGGAAATTGATGATTTCGGAGGCAAAATTTGATGGATTTCGTGGATGAAAGGTGGGAAAACTTGGGGAAATGCTAGATCCACTCGAAACCAAGCAAATCCATGGATCAAAATCAACAAAATATCATCAAACCAACAAATCACAAAAAAAATTGGGGGCTATTTTTTGGTGGGGATTTTTGGATTTAGGACGAAATCAAGCAAAAGAAGGCTAGAAAATGGTGGGAGGGACTCCAAATACGTGATAAACGTGGCTCATGATACCATATGATATGGGGCTAACCCGGTGTAGGCCAATCTTTCACGTTTGGAGTGGGATCCCTCGAAGAACACGATGAACACGGGGAAGAACAGGGAGAAATCACAAGGGGAAACACTCGAGAATAAGTCCAATCACACATCCACTAGACAATCAAACACACAAGATCACAAGGTACATGAACAACAAAGGGAAAGATACAAGGTAAGGTTCATCTCCAAGAGGAGGTCTTGATGATATCCTAGGCGGATCTTACCACGAGGGGGTCTTGATGATATCCCGCAGGATCTTCTCACATGGAGGTCTTGAACTCCATGGGAGTGGTAGTCTCTCTCTCTCAAGAGTAAAGGTAGGAGCAAAGCTCACCTAAGAATGAGCTATCATATTTGCTAACCCTAACTAGAGGAAGGGGATGGAGTATATATATAGGCTAGCCCACGAAGGGGTAAGTGAGGAGGGGATACATGGGCCTCAGGCCCGTCTCTGCGCGCAGGCAGGCGCCGGATGTCTGGGCTCTCGTGAGACGTCGGATGTCTGGTGCGGTTGGCCGGATGTCCGGACCAAAGTGGCCAAGCTACTGGATAGGGGCGCCGGATTTCTGGGGGAGAGCGCCGGATGTCTGGTGGTTGCCGAGGTGCCGGATGTACGGGCACACGGGCCGGATGTCCGGCCGCTGATGCTTCGGCCGTCTTGTTGGTGCAGCTCCTCGGAGGCTGCACAGGCGCCGGATGTCCGGCCTCTGGCCCGGACGTCCGACCGTTGTAGCTTCAGCAGCTCTGTCTTCTTCCGTCGTTGCTTCCAGGCTTCCCTCGCGGATGGCGTAGTTGTTCCTTGGTGCTTGCACTCCTCCTCGACATCCGTGAAGCTCCGACAATACCTATGCATGCACACAGGAGAAGTTTCAAGTAGTATACCATCCTCGAAGGGGTCAAGTGAGCACGTGTAAAGGAGAAGATTCACCTTTATGTATGAAAAGTAGAGGTCGCACGTGTCACTTGCCAAACGGACTCTTGACATGATGATGACCGTAGGATGCTCCGCATCAAGTTGCCAGGAGGAGGTAGCCAGGCATGCGTGGTCTGCACTGTCGGTGGGCCGCTAGTCACCATGTTTGGTAGTTGCTCCAACTCACTGAGATAAGAATTGACAAAAGAAAAGATGTGGTGCGGGCTCTGGGAAATAGCTTCATGTATAGCTTTTCTCCTAGCATACCATATGGACCATAATGTTACCACCATCCGAGTGAAGCTCTTCTGATCCAGCCTGTCATGCATCTCAAACAACTAATTCGTTGTGCTAGCTTCTGTAATCTCTGCCATACTAGAAACAAGTGACTCCTTGGTAAGCGCCCAGGTACACCTCGCCATTGTGCAAAATAATAAAGCATGGCGCCATGAATCCTCGCAGCCACAAAGTGGACATGCATCGCGGGTCGACATATTACGGCGCTTAAGAACATTCGTGGTTGGCAGAGAATGATGTGCCAACCTTCAAATGAATACTTTCACCTTCGAAGGGACTGACAAATTCCATAACGAAGTCCAAGATTTTTCTCCCCGCTCCCCACTGGATGAACCACTTCGACCTTCCAACCAGTTCCCCCTCTGAATCTTTGTTGTTATCAAGAACTTGTATGCTGAGCTAACTGTCAAACAGCCCTTACTGTCTGGGTGCCAAGCCCGGAAATCATTGACACTTCTTGTGCACACCAGAAGCTTCAGAATAGACTCAGCATCGATCGGAAGGAAGGTAGCTCGGATCATATTTTCATTCCATGTCGCCATAGCTGGCAGCAAGAGTTCTGACACCATAGTAGATGGATCAGAGACTTGTGAGACTAAAGGTCGAAGTGAGGCCTCCTTCGGGATCCAATTGTCATCCCAGATATGAGTTGTCGGGCCATTGCCAATGCGCCTTATAATTCCTTGTTTCATGGTATCTCTTCCTTCGAGAAACCAAATCTGGGATGGTGATTAATACTACATTCATCTCGGTGTATAAGTCATTCGCGTAGTTCTAGATCGATAATTTCACTATCTAAATATGTATTATATGTGACAAAAAGTATATATTTAAAAACTACATCCGTGTAGAAATCTAGTGATATACTTTTCATGACATATAGCACATATTTAATTTTTCAAATCAATGATCTAGAACTACGCGAATGGCTTATACACTGGGACGGAAGGAGTACATGGCTTAGGCCTTTTCATACACAAAAAAAGGGGGTGCCGGCTTTATCCCTTAAATGGGCTTTATGGGCCACATGGAGTATCCAGTTGGTGGTCCGGACTGGGATGGGCCTCCATTGTCAGGATGAGCGAGCCTCCACTTCTTCACACAGTTCCGCTAAAAAAAAAAACTTCTTCACACATTCCCCTAAAAAAAATATTCGGCTTGCTCGGCTCGGCTCGGCTCAACCCCTCCTCCACCACAACGCCCCACCGGAGAAACGACCGGCGGCGGCGATCCCAGGCGCCTGTCCCCGGCGGCGGCAACCGACGACTCTTCTACCCCCTCCCGATCTATTGAGGTGAGCCTTTCTCCTTCCTCGTCTCTCCCAATTTATTTTCTCTTCTCAATGGATTAAACCCTAGCTAGCTAAACTTTCCTCCCTAATCAAACCCTGCCGACATTTACTTGTCAGCTGAGGAGGGGAGATGGATTCTGCTAAGGAGATTCTCCGGCGGTAAGACAATCCACATCCAGTCTCTCCATCTCTGTTGACCATCCCCACATTTCATCACCCGCAGTCTGTTTGTTTGTTTATCCCTTACTTATTATTGATAGATGCTGTGTGTTGCAACGACATTTGTAGTACTTGAAGAAATTGCTCCATTGCATTGACGCTGCTTGTCACTGCCGGTTTTCCAGGGTCCATTCAAAGAAGAAACCGTGTGTGGATGGCGAATCACACCAGCATTCCCCGACGTCGATGTCTGCCGCGGTATCCAAGGTGCTCGAAGACGACGACCTCCTCAGGGAGATTATTGTCCGTGTCGGCTTCCCCACCACCCTCGTGCGTGCTTCCCTCGTCTGCAAGCGCTGGTACCACCACATCTCTGACCGCCGGTTCCTCCGCCGCTTCCGCGAGCGCCATCCGCCCCGCCTCCTTGGCTTTTGCCATGTCCCCGAAGATGAGTGTTCACAGTCGTCCTGTCCACGCTTCGTCCCGATTTTGCCTCTGCCCCCAGAGCTCGCTGCCGTGGTCAGCCGCGTGGCGAGCTACAGCTTTGGCGTCGACGGCGACGAATGGATCAGGGAGTGCCGGCGCGGCAGTGTCTTGACCGGACGCTATGAAGGATTATTATGGAGACATAGAGTGCACCACCCACTGTGCTCTGGGAGAGACATGTACATCCTCCCACCACTCCCAAGCGTCCAGAACTCTAGTTACCACATGTTCAGTACAATCCTCTCCAAAGAAGATGGCGCCGGCGGCATGTCCTACGTGTACATGTTGGTGGAGGGGGTTGATGAGAATAAAGTTTTTAGGGTGCGTGTGTATATGTTGCAACGCGGTGTCTGGTGCATGCATACCTCATCTACCACAAAGATCCCTCTTCCGTTGTTGCCACGGAAAGTTTTGCTTGTTGACAATAAAATCTATATAGCTGACAAGTTCAGTGACGACATTATTGTCTTGGATTTGCCAGCCTCAAGTTTCTCCAAAATTTCGGTCCCACAGGGAGTGCAGTGTCACCATTATACCACCATCTTGTCACGAGCCGATGATGCATCCGGTGTATATCTCACCCATGTTCATGTCAAGGAGCTTCAGCTTTGTATCTGGCTCCACAAGGGGCACAACTGGTTGCTGGTCAATACCATTTGTTTGCGTCAGATGTGGGCTAATTTGAGGATGCTAGATCATACGCTTGGGGATGAGGATGTTGATTTTCACTTCTTAAGCCATGTGGGGGATAATGCTGAGTTTGTGTTCTTGGAAATGTCTAATTGCACACTCCATCTGGACGTCACGAGCAGGACACTGCGTAAAGTGCATGGGACGCCGATAAAGAATGGGCATTTCATTGCTGTCCATCCTTTTATGATGATTTGGCCACCCATATTCCCTCTGCTGAAGGATGCTACTGCAAGGTTTGCTATTTGGACTTCATATGATCACAATACTAGTTAAGTGACATTACATAATGCTTGCCTTAAGATGTCTTGAAATCACTTGTGTACTCAGGTAATACTACTTGCTTATTGCTACCTACAAAAGTATAAAACATGTGTGAGAGCTGAACGTGTGTAGCCTTGTTATCACATTGACCACCGTACTTCATTGTCCTAAAATATTATCATAAACCAATCAATCCTGTAATTTTAGTTTGCCATTTCTTTAATCGTTGTGTAATTTTCTACTGCCTACCTTTATACTGTGAGCCTCAAGCTTACAAGATTTGTTTTTGCTGAACTTATGTGACTGTCTTTCCTGATACTTATGCACTAGTATGTTAGTACTTGTTTTTTTCTGTCTGATTGTTGTTTAGTGGATTCTTTTTACATGGATTGTACATTTTACATGGCAGGTATGTTTGAGTTTATGCATGAACTGTGATTTTTTTTCCCCTGTTGCAATACAAGTGGCCATTCCAAGCTAACAGTGGGTAATTTGTGCTTGTGTGTCAGACATTTCTCCTTGTACGATCAGGTTTTTGTTTTACTGAAATGGAAACATGTTGGTCTGCAATATAAGGACATTTAAGCTGTATTGGCTATAGCTTTTGATAAAGAAAACCTATGTTGCTGGACCAAGTCCATTCTTTTGATTTCTGAATGCACGTAGCATTTGAGTGATAAATGATAATAAAACGCTATGATGCTGAATTACCTCTACTCTATCCTGATCCTTCCTCTGTTTCCTTCAACCAGGAATGGCATGTGAAGGAGGAGGATAGCAGGAAGCTTTTGGATGGTCAGCTACAATGGTGTCGTCAAGGGAGATCAGGGAGCTGCATTTCCTTAGTAGCAGTTCTAACAGTCTTTATTATAACTCGTAGTGGATTAGTTATGATGGTATGTAGCTCGAGCAGGTACTCCTATGCCTATGGTACCATGACTATTTGCGACCGAGATATTGGTTTCATGAAGATGACTCCCTGTATGCATGTTTACTACTCCCTCCGTTCCAAAATAGATGACCCAATTTTGTACTAACTTTAGTATAAAGTTGGGTCATCTATTTTGGAACGGAGTAGTTATGCTGACTGATCCACTTGCATCGTCGCGGTCTTGTGGTTCCACCGCTTGCTCTGCTTGTCAATGTGGTATTTGCAGGAATGTGTAGTAGCTTACTAGTCGGAGTTTTTCTTTTAGCATAATAGCTAGTTTTCATCCGTTGAAAGTTCTCGGTCAACGGTGTTGATGTTCTTGGTCATCAGGTCAGGACTGCCAAACTAATGCCTTTTGTGGAAGTGGGATTTTTGACTCTGCAAGTGCCCAGCTGAACAAACAATCATTCTCCCTGCGATCAATCGAGATGGTTATCTGGTTTAGTTGTGTTCTGCCCAGCACGACGGACGAGCGCTGGATCAGTGCCTGGCTATTGCGCATGTCTATCCAATCTTTCAGAGGCTGGTGTGCCTTGTTGTTTACTTAATAAAATATCTTCCTGGATGTGTACAGTACTCCATCCTCATAATGTAAGACGTTTTATAGGAGGGAGTACCTTTCAGAGAGCGGAGATAGCTTGAACCTTGGTTAAATAGGAGTTCTGAAAAACAAGTGTTGTTTTTCAGATTCTCCATTGAGACCATGGAACATCCATAATGTATCCAATAATGCACAGCAGCCTCGTTAACTGTAGGATCGCCGCCGATGTAGTTTTTTCGTTGGTTATTCTGCCATTGTTTGTTGATATCTTGATGGTACCAGCTGAAGAAGCATGCCGCCCTTCACACGCCATGAGCTTAGAAAATGGCAGGAATCTTTGGAACCTGCAAGCTACTACTCCCTCCGTCTCAGTTTACAAGTCCTGCGCGTATACCTAGATTGCCAATTTTATCACCCTAATATAAATTATATAACACAAAAATTATATCTTCTGAAAATAGAACATCTGAAGTTTATATTGCTATATTTTTTGTAATATATGACTTGTATTAGGTTGGTCAAATTGACGACCTAGGGGTACGCGCACGCCCTATAAACTGAGAGAGAGGGAGTATATTAGTTGTTTTCCGATGTGCTGTAATTGCTACACTATGAACAGAGTAGATATCCAGTGACTCTGAGGTATGCTAACATTAGAGTTTCTTTTGTGCATATCCATTTCTTTGCTAACATCAGAAACCCGGGTACACTGATGAACACACGATGTGATGCGACAAACTCAGCAAGAACTGCAGAGCAGCCGTTCCTTCACCTGGAGAAAAACCAAAAGCGTCAATCCGTTAGTAACCTGATAGTGGTGATAGGCAGTTAGGCACTACCGCACTAGTGACATATACAACTTCCAACTTACGGGTGTTTATAACAATAAAATGGATTGGTGGGCATCAGCTCTAGTGCGAGGGCGGCCGTCGTTAGGAAGAGCGAGGCCTATAATTCCTTCGTGTGGCCTATCTCTCAACGAGAGGAAAGATGATGACAACGTGTCAAGGAGTAAAACGAGAGAGGAATAATGAATGAATCTATATCTATATCTACTAGCAAAAGGGTCCGTGCGTTGCAATGAAAGGAAAAAAAACTAATATACAATAGCCATGACCACATTTTGCTGCATCACCGAGATACACTAGCACTCTCAATTTTGTGAAATCATGAACACTTTTTTAAACTCGTGCACATATTCGAAATTGTGAATATTTTTCAAATTCGTGAACACTTTTACAGATTTTCAAACATTTTCTAAAATCAAGAAGATTTTTGAATTCATGAACAGTTTATACTATTTGCAAACATTTTATTTAAAATTGTGAACATTTTTTTAACATTTTTTCTTGAATTGGTGAACATTTCTAGAGTCGACGAACATTTTTCTGGAAATTGGTGGAACCATTTTTAAGATTTACAAACAATTTTTTGCTTTAATGAACATTTTCTTGATTTAACAATCATTTTATGAATCAGAGAACATTTACGAATAAATAAACTATTTCGTAAGTCACGAACAGTTTTTAAATTTTTAGGATATTTTTACATTCATGGACAAATTTTCAATTGGAAAATTTTTGTTCAATTTTACTAACATTTTTTAATACACAAACTTAAAAAAATCATGAACATTTTTTTGATTTTCTGAACATTTGTTTTCAAAATTGCAAAAAACAATTGAGTAAGCCAACATATTATACAAAGTCGCAAATATTTTTTGAATCCACAAACATTTTATGAGTTATAAATATTTGATTTAAAAATGATGATTTTTTCAAACTTTTTTGAAGTCCCAAATTATTTAAAGTAAAAAACAAAACCGGAAAAGAAAAGAATAAAAACAAAATTTCGAAAATAGGCCGTCCGGACATGGGCCGGCCCAAACGGGTGCGCTGCATCTTCTTCCAGCGCGCAAAGTGCAGATAGGCCCCCACTGCATGGGCCGGCCCAGACGAGACCCTTTGTGAAACATTTTTTTGTAGCTTATAGGTGGCATCTGTGTGTAACATTTTACAACTTTAAGGGCAGCTAATGTTACGTACCACAAGAAACACTTATAAATTTATTACTAGGTATAGTCATAAGTGCTTCTTGTAGTACATCACATTAATTGTTTCAAAGTTATAAAATATTATCCACCGATACCACCTATAAGAGGAGAAAAACATTTCACATAGTGGGAATCCCCCGCCTGGCCAGCCCATGCAGTAGGGACCTCTTATATTACGCTCTGCGCGTTAGAAGAAGACGCAACACCTCGTTTGGGCTGGCAGATATGCAGGCGGCCTGCTTTCAATTTTCGTTTTCTTTTTTTTCTTTATCGTTTTCATTTTTTATTTTTTACATATTTTGGTACTTAAAAAGAGTTTGACAATTTTTAAAATGTGAATTTTTAAATAAAAATTTCAATATACCATGAAATGTTTGTATATTCAAAAAATATTCGTAATTTTTGAAAAATGTCCGTATATTCATAAATGTTTGCAATTTTGAAAAAAAATATTTGAGAAAATGTTCATGATTTAAAAAACGAAATATGTATTTGGCAACCATGTGCCAGATTGCAAAAACGCCACACCATCTGGATGTCGTTCGTTTTGATCCAAATCGAGCGAGCGACATCACGCATCTCGCATCGCAACACTCGAGCGTGGCCCATCCCCGAGCTTCAACCGCGCCACGTCGCCGCCACCTTGCCGCGCCCCCTCCGATGAGCCGTCGTCGGTGAGCCAGACCGCACTGCACCTCCCTGCTCTTTCTTTCCCCTCCATCCTCCTTCCTCCCTCTCTCTGTCTCATCTCCTTCTTCTCTCTGTTATCCCATCCGACGGGAGATCCTCCACTGGATTCCACCCGCCTCGACGGTCGCGACCTCCGACGACTCCTTGACGTCCGCCGCCGCCCCCCGCCTGCACCTCTCCACCGGCCGTCTGGCTCGATCCGTTGCTCGTCGCCGCTGGAAATGCATCTCCTTCGCTGTACCCCCTCTGCCCTGACGGTTGTGGCCTCCGGCGCCTCCCTGATGTCCACCGATGACCCTGCCTACACAGCTCCGGCAGCCGCTTAGCTTGCCGGTGAGGGTTTGCTCCCGTCAAGCACGTTGACCCCAACCACGTTCGCGAGCCTGCAACGTTGAATGGCCCGCAAGCAGTCCACCCTTCCTCTATTCCATTTTTCTCTTCTCTGGTATTTTTTTTGACCCGGTACTTTTCTTGGAAAGTATGATAATTGACCAGAGAAAAAATTGTTCAAAACATGCACCCAAAAAACTTCTGTTTAAATAACAAGGTGATATATGCACCAAAAAATTGATAATTTAGGTACAAATACCGTGGTAACTGTGACCTTGAGGAAAATTTTTGTTGAAAACAACTCTGATAACTTCAGTGTAAATAATATGATAATATATGAACCGCAGAGTTGATAACTCTAGGTAACTTTGAAGGGGTGGGGAGTTGTTAAAAACATGCAATCGATAACTTATGTAAATAGAAGGGTAATATACAAACTGTAGATCTGATAACTTGGGTAGAAATAT